AATTACGTTGCTTAATTCAAAAACTACATTTACAAAAGAATGAAAATTGTGTAAAAGTGTTTTTACAAACAATAACACGAACATTATGGCACATACTGTAATGCTACAATTACGTAAGAATTGTTTTACGAAAGTTTTACACCGCTGCCTTTGCTTCACAAATGAAACCGAATTCTGGTCACTTTAATGCTATGAATCACTGTGAACGCGTCATTAAAAGAGAAATCAGTGTCTATCAGACGAGAATAGCCTCTTTGCACAGGCTAATCTTTACAATGGAAGAAAAATTTTATAGTGTTCATTTATTATATTTTATTGGGATGAGATTATAATATGGGTCATTAACATCTGTAATACTGCACACTCTCTATTTTTGTGACGGTAAGGATCATTAAGATATTGAATCCGATGTTGAAAGCTCACGAACACTGTTGTGTTTTGGCGTCAATGTATAAATTAATAAATAATATAGGAGTAATGAATCATCACTGCCGTCTGAGCAAATCTATACATCGGTTTTGATGCAAAAATGTTGACAGTTGCATAAAATTCTGCCGTTTTATTTGACGTCAAAACTTCTTATTTAAAATCCGACGCCATTCAGCCAAGCACATCAAATAGACTCGAATTTGCATGTCCCACCAAACTTGTCGGGAACGAGGGTGATGATTATGGCTTCAGCTCTTGGCATTGGCATCTCGGCTCAGTAGCTTTAGCGCCTGTTCCCCCGGGTGCCAGATACTTCAGGGTTCAGGACATTCATATACATACATATCCATAAAAATAATTTAGAGAGTTAGAGTGTGTTATACAGAGGAAGAGGGAGAGAGAAAGAACATAGAGTGCACAGGGAAGGCCGACACAGATGGTTCACGGCTCTTTAGGGAGACGCGGTGGAGTCTGCCATGCCATAACAGTGGCGCATGGGGAATTGAGCAGTGGGACTTGCGTTTTGAAGCTTGGGATCTTCCATGTGTCATCTGATTACCACTGACAGTTGAGTTCACCGTTTCATAACTATGTTCAGCTATTGCTCAGACACTCGTTGGCTTCTTGGAACCATCAATTATGCAAAATGCTTGCTGCATGTAGATGAGGCAAACTCATCTGGTTTTGCATATCTTCTCTTAAAATCTCAGTTGTTTTTCCTAGATATTTCCATCCATTGATTTCCTAGATTTCCTGAATTTTCATTTCAGGTCGACTTTAATGACATTATTTTCTCATGTGCTTCTAAACAGTTACATGGAACCATGATTTCAAATCCCAAATATTTTTTTTCACCACTTGTATTCAAAAGTGACGTAACATGTTGTCAAACGGCACAAGGCCTTTAGCGACAATCTAAATGAGCCAGTTTCTCAATTTGAAACCTAAGGTAAGTTATTGGTTCTCAACTGAGGGGTAAAAACAATGCTAAATGCTAATAATAAATGCAACCCAGCAGGAATCAAACAGGGATAAAAAAAAAAAACAATGTTACAAGTGAATAAAAAGCAATGCTAAAAGCTAATAATAAAATGCTAACCAACAGGGGTAAAATAGGGATTAAAAACTATTCTAATTGCTAATAATAATAAAAACAATGTAATAAGCTAATAAAAAGCAATGCTAAAAAAAAACCTATGTTAAACGATAATAATATATACAATGCTAAATTTTAATAATAAAAACAATAGTAAATACTAATAGTAAAATGCTAAGCAACAGGGAGGAAACAAATACAATTAATGTTAAAAGCTAATAATAAAAAAATGCTAATGCCAAATGCTATAAAATGTTAAAGAGCAGGGATAAAACAGGGATTAAAAAGCAACAATAAATGCTAATAATAATGCTAGCCAGGACTATTAACTGGAAATATTCCTATATGTAATTATATATTATTAGAAAACCAATATAGGATACAATTTGGGTCTGTCTAGACTATAATTTTTGTTTTATATTATTATTAATGGTGTCAAACAATTAATTGCGTAAATAATCGTAAATAAAAGTTTTTGTTTACATAGATTTGTGAACAATATTTGAGAGAAATAGGCCTTTTGTGTACATAGAAAAAGTCTTAGATCTTTGAGTTCAGCTCATGAAAAATGGGGGCAACAACAAAAGTGTTACGTTTATAATTTTGTTCATACACTGAATATACAGTATATAAATAAACACATGCATGTATATATTTAAGAAAAATATGTTATCTTTATATATTAAATATATTTATATATAATATAAAATATAAGAATATAAATGTATATGCATGTAAATATTTCCAAAATATATGCTGTATGTGAGTGTATCTATATATACATAATAAATATACACAGTATACACACATATAATATGTAAACAAACTTTTATTTTGGATGTGATTAATCGTTTGCCAGCACTAATTATTATTATTATTATTTTTACTTAGAAAAAAATGAATTATTAAAACAATTTTACTGTAAACAATTTAATTAGTAATGTTTTTCTTTAAAGTCACCCACAACAATATTAACACCTCTCAAACAGCAATACATTATAGTTTTGTTACTATTCTGTTGTCATTTTAAAATGACAAAAAAAGTGATAAACATCTTCACATAAAGCTGGACAAAAACGTTGCACTATATAATGTACGTTTGTATACAGTACAGTAACATACTGAATTCAGTGCATAATTTTGAAGTATAAAGACTGAAATAATATTTTCTCACAAAACGTATCCCAATAATGTACCATTTTCCCAGCATGGTGCAAGACTGAGATGGTTTTCATTCTCTAGCGCTATTGAGTGACGCCGTGGGATCGTCATGGAGTTTTGATAAATGGCCACAAAAGACCGATTAGCATTTCCACCTCGTCCTTTCCCCCAGCGTTCGAAAGCGAGCAAGGTCATAACCAAAGGTAGAAGATTAATTTGGTCTTACCTGATAAATTATGAGAATTAGCCTGTTGGGAGAAAAACAGTACTTGGTGAGCTGTTTCTGATTGGTCCAATAGAAGCAAAGCAGAGATTCTGATTGGTCCAAACAGCCATGAAATTTAATTTCAAGCTGGGTTTGAAGGTGGGTGTATTTTAGCATAGATCTGTTACTTTGGATATGCCATTTGTCCCATCTAAGAATGGCATATCTAATAATGTGGGAAAGCATTGCCACTGTCAGAAAAAAAGCCTTGACGGTATCAGTTTTTGTAATTAATTTCCCAATATTTTCTTCTTTATGTGCCCTAGCTATTTGAAAAACCCAAAAGCAGCTGAAAGGTTGCAAAGAGCTGCATTTTTTTTTTCAGTCAAAGCCGCATAAACAACACCAAAAGTACTCTTCATCTCCCGAAATTTCATTTCCTTTTCAAAGAGCCGAGGCTTTTCTTTGACAGTGACAACATGCTAATCCTCTGGGCTCAAACCAGTCCTGCACTATTACTCTCTCTCTCTGCGGTGTGCGGCCCACCATCTCGTGTTCATTAGAGGAAATGTGGTCATTCTCAGCAGACGACTTCATTCCATTATATCTGACACGAGCTCATGCTGCAACAATCAACAGGCCAAAGCAACAGCATTTCAGCTCATGGTGACATTCTGCAATGAATCTTGCAAGCACTGCACTCTGGGACAGCTTTTACACCCACCGGCTGAAGGAAAAGCAACTTTAAGGGTCAAAACTGAGATAACTCCGATAACTCTGGATTTATTAGAATTTACATACCCGGTTTGCAAATCTATAAATACCTGGAATAAATTAATTACTTTTTTTTTTTTTCTGGTAACATACCATAATAAATTCATTAATACTTAATGACTTCCGTTTATATTATTTATAATCATTTTTACATTATAACGCTTAATGGATCATTTGTTTATACACATTATTCTTATAGATTTGATTTTTGAATCATCCTCGGAATTTGTAGAGGCTTAAACTAATTAGTTGTAAGCAATAAGTCAATTTCAATTGATTATGGAAAAAAAACATTATAAGCAATATAAACAATAAAAAACAATAAGCAATATAATGCAATATAAACATTATAAAACAATATAAACTGTAAATATATTTTATTAATAAATACTAGTTTTTGGTGTTTCTATATATATCTATATAGATATATATTTCATATATATATATATATATAATTAAGTACATTTTGTTGGTGGCGTATTAATTCATATTATTATAAATGTTTTTTTTTCAATTGAAACATTGGTTTGCTATCTTTATAATAAATATTATAGAAATACATTATTATGTTAAAAAATATAACTAAAAAGTAGGGATGCACCGATGTATCAGCTGCCGATATTTATCGGCCGATTTTTGATTATTTTAAAGACATCGGCATATCGGAAATAGCATGAAAAGGGCTGATACTGATGGTTTATAATGGTAATAATAAAGATAAACGCAGGAACAGAAAAGTTCAAATACCGATTCTGCTCTGAGTGAACTGATTTATTTTATTTTTTATTTTTTGAATTTTTAAGCTCTGCTTTATGTAATTGACCAATATCGGTATCGGTATAGCCAATATTTTGTTTGGTAAAATCGGTATTGGTATCGGCCAAAAAAAATCCTATCGGTGTATCCCTCCTAAATGTATAATGATATGCTTTATTATAAACTATAATTATAAATAAACTGTCAATTTATAATAATAATTACATTCAGAAATTTTTATTTAAATTTTAATTGACCTCTGCTAATTATAAAACAGGTGCAAAAAGCCAGAAAACATGCATAATAATGTGAAATGTGAAAAGTCACATTATCTTATTTTGATAACTTACATTCGCTCATGTGATAAAAATATCTCCAAAAAATTAAATAAATTAAGAATAATAATAAAAAAACTAATATCACATTATTCACATTCTATGAATGTGAAGACGCATTTCCTAACCACATCAGTCTCTCAGTGTTCACCATATTTACTACAAAGACATCTGAATTCATCATGAGCAAACGTACAGTATCAAGTTCCACCATTAACTCTGAATAAACACTTTTGTAACTTACTGTTGGGATCAACATTTTCACACAGTTCGGTTTTGGCCTCGCCGTTCGGCCGGTCGCTGGGTTTGTGTGACAGACGTGAGGACATGGTGGCCGCCGTCACCACGGCCTTGAAGCTGCGCTTGCGTTTCTGCACGTTGAGCTCCGGGTGGAAGATGATGACGTAGACCTTGGGCATGTAGAGCATTCCCAGAGCCACAGAAGCGCTCAGATTCATGGAGATGGTCAGCGTGGTGGTCTGGATGTAGAGCTTTGGGGGCAAAAAAGGAGTAAAACTGTATTACGGCAAGGGGAAATTAAAAATAAATGAATAATACTAATAATAAAAAAACAGTTTCATAAAGACCTGAAAAGGAGATATAAAACTGGATATTGAGACAAATTTCACTGTTTGATTTGTTTTTGATTTACAAGCTTGCAGTTCACTCAAATGTTGTTTTTGATTCAATTCTATATCAATTTATTTGGATATACAGGCACTCCGGTACAGTACACGTACAAATTATTTGATCAAATTTCAATATTGATTCAATTCGACTTGATATCGATTAATTTGGTGATATAGACAATCAGGTACGGTAGGCTACATTTAAGAAAATGATTCGATTCAGCTCGATATCAATTCATTTGTATAGAAAATCAGGTACAGTAAATATATATATATCAACTAATGCTGTAAAAACTATACAAAAACCCTGTCAGTTGGAACATTACTATATTAGAATAATTTATAAATAAACATTTAAATTGCAAAAGACAGTTTTAAAATAATGAAACATGACATAGCTACTTGTTGAAATATTCAAACATTGGATAGGCCTATCATATCTTGTTTTCAATGCCGGATTTATTCAAACATGAAAAAGGTTAAGTAAAAATAAAATACATTTTTAATGTAGTGCACATACAGTATCTAGCAAAATGCTCCTTTGTAGAGTTATTTTTTTCTAGCTAGTTTATGGTCACTGAATGGCTTTTCTGAGGTAAATGTGACGTTACGTGGCTTATTGTTTACAAGCTGTTTCATTGACATCTTTCCACAGTGGAAACACTGATTGATCGATTACATGAAACATTATACTATTCAGTTTTACTTTTTCTTTCAACATACCTCCAGACGTTCATTCATGAATATAAAAGCCGTGTTGCCAAGTCTGCGGTTTTCCCGTGGAATTGGGCTACTTTAAAGGGGTCATATGATGCGATTTCAATTGTTCCTTTCTCTTTGGAATGTTACAAGCTCTTGGTGCATAAAGAAGATCTGTAAAGTTGCAAAGACTAAAGTCTCAAATCCAAAGAGATATTCTTTATAAAAGTTAAGATTCAGCCACACCTACCTAAAATGGCTCGTTCTAACACGCCCCCACATATCTACGTCACTATGTGGAAATATTAGCATAATGCAACTGTAAACGGCATAGATCGATTCTTAGGATTTAAAGCCTAGTTCACCCAAATATGTTAAACTTTTCACATCATTATAGCATGCTTTAACACCAAATATAATACACGCTAATAATTTAATGTTACCTCATTGCGTGTTTACGTAAACTAATTTGTGATTGGACCAGTTCATTGAAATGAGCTGTCCGAAAGAACCATTTCATAGAAATGCATCCAATTTCTCTGTTGGAGGCTATGAATTACAGGTAATAATGTTACGTTTCTTGCACAGACCTAGCATTTCAGTTCATAAGACCTAAACATGTCTTCAGGAGTCACGAGTATTAATTTTGTGTTCCTTGATATGCTTTATTTCTTCTCAAAAAGGGGCACCCGATGGCTTGCATTTCTACTGAAGAAAAAAAAGTCACCTGCATCTTGGATGGCCTGAGGGTGAGTAAATTTGGGTGAACTATCCTTTTAAGAATCGATATCAGAGTATCAATTAAAATCAAGAAATATTTTTTTTAACCTAGCTTTAGTTGGTTGTTCATGAATTATTCTGTGAACTCCAGGATGGGATTCGAGACGAAATGAAAAATCTAATCAAATCCGAACAGGTCAGTTCCAAAGGCACTCGATATTGACGTCCTGCTGGGGGAATTCAAAGCCAAATGGATGATAATCGTTCTTAAAAACTCGAGCTGCTGTCATTGCCTGAAAGTACAGCTCTTGCATGGATGTACTTTTCTTGTATGAAAAAAGGAGCTTGTCAAAGTATCATAATGAAGGCTTTCATGCCGTGGCTGTTAACCGCACTCTGGCAAGTATGTAATTACCGATATCTTCAATGTGTTTAATCTTTAATGTACTGCGAGTTCAAAGCCTGTTAGGAAGGTCACGGGTGCGTTTCGATGAAGGCGACGGCCCCCGTTCATGAAATGCCAGTGGAATGAATTGTGAAAATCTTTCAAAAACCACAAATTGTCACTGAAATGTGTTCTGCTCGTGTTTCATGAATGATGGACAATGTTTCTACTGTCTGTACAAACAGATTGACCAGCCAATAAAACAACTAGTCCAGTAAAACTTAAGGTCTGGACCAATTTGTCGCTTATTCAGGCCAAGATCTGCCTCCTCAGACAGCAAGAGACTTTCTGAGGGGTTTCTGCAACTATTGTTACTTTTGGTCCCTGAATTTTTGTGATGGAAATGATAATGGAAGAATTAAATTAAATGTTTATGACTTTTTTTTTCTTGTTAAATTCTAATTTCAGAGCTAGCATTAATGCAACCTGAATAGACAGAAATCAATTTTCACACTTTTTGAATAATTTCACAAAATTACAGCTACTCTGGAAATGACTTAATATCAACTTTAGACAAAAGTGCAAAACTGTTCAAGCAATCATTGCATTTTAAATAAATACAATTTTTACATAAGAAAATGGACAAAATGGCAGCTAGACTGCAAATGACATACATGAACATACATGGAAAAAAATTATAAGGTGCAAAACTGTTCATTAAATGAATAGATTTGAAATAGATACAGGTTTTACAGTGTTTGCAAAAGGAGTGAAACTGTTTATGAAATTATTTTTAAATTAAATAAACAAATCAAATGTTTATATTTTACTTAATTTCACAAAATTACAGCTAGATTTTACATGACATTAACTTTAAAAAAAAACAACAAACAACTATAAGGTTTAAAACTGTTCATGAAATGACTGAATTTTAAATAAATAAATACAGTAATTAACAGTTTTTGCATTATTTGGCAAGATTCCAACAAGACTGGAAATTACAAATTAACTTTCGAAAAACTCTATAAGGGGCAAAACTCTTCATGAAATGACTTTATTTTAAACAAACAAACACATAAATAAATATGCAAATTAATTAATTAATTATACTTTTACTTAATTTGGCACAATTACAGCTGGACAGGAAAATACATATATCAAAGTGTAAATCTTTTAAATGAATGAATGAATAAATGATTTATGTTCATGGTTTTAATAATTCATATTTGTTAATAATTCATATTTTATAATAGCTTTTCATTTTTCAAGATTTAAAATTTGTACAAAAAAGGCAAGTAAGATAAATATTCAAAAGTAGCAAAAGTAAATAACAAAGACAAAAAAATAAGGGAAAAAAAAAGATCTATAGACAATTAATGCAAGTCCATATAACTAAAGAAAAACAATAAATAAAACTGCACCCTTGGGACATAAACGTTCTCACAGTTTGTTTTGTTTTACGCAACTATTTGGGCTTGTTTTATCTGAAATCGATCATACCACAAAAATAGACCACTGAAAAAACACAGAAAATGTGTGTAGAATCTGATCAGCATTGCATGGCCCATATTTGACTTGTACCTCTTCCATTTTTAGCCCATTATGGGAGTAACTCGAACAGCCGGACAACTGAATTCCCGCAGGCTCTCGAATCACACAACCTTAAAAAATTCTGAAGAAAAAAGTGTGAAAACCTCCAGGAGTGTCAAATTAATTTGCCAGTCCAAAGTGCAAATGCAGTGAACTAACACGTGCTGTCGTGCGACAGAGATCGACACCTGATTCTTCTGCTTCTCGCTGGCCGGAGAGACATGTGATGCTGACAATAGACGAGAGAAATCCAGCATGCTTGACTTGATAGAACCCATATTCACCTCCAACACCACGTTCAAACCAGGTGTGATGTTTTAAAGCAACAAGTGATAAAAGCAACCTCTGCTGACACTGAACACTACACAAAACAACACTACATTTTGTTGATCGTTTGGTTTCTGTTTCTACAATGTTGCGCCAAGAACAAATCTGAACTGAAAATAGCTCCTTCCAGACCCAAATGCACATTTAATGCCATTCACTGTCAAAAACTCACCAATGTACAACTTGACGTTTTGTGTACGTACACAAAACGTAATAAAGTTAAAATTAAAATATTATAAATTATAAGTATATATTTTGGACATTTCTAAAAACAATTACATATAGTCTTAAAAATATAATACATAACTTTGAAATATTTTATAATATATTGAAATCTGTTAAATATTACATAATGTAATGTGATATTTTTAAATTAATGGATTTTTTGGCGATGCATGATTTGACAAAATTAGTTTGAAAAAAATAATAAATTAGTTTGACTGAAAATTACATAATTAACTTTTGGAAGAAAAAAAAAACTACAAATTTGTTCATGAAATTACTGAACTTGCCAAAGTACAACTTGAAGTTATGCACACATAAAACAAGTTCAGCTTGAAGTATTATAAATTATAAATATAGATTTTATAAATGTATACAAAATATTTTTACAATAATATATATTTGAAACATTTTAAAATAGTTCGTTTGGATGGATGAATGAATGAATAAAGGCATAATTTGGAAATTATAGCTAGACTGGAAATGACAAACATTAACTTTTTTTTAATTCAAATTTCACATTGAAATGGAACGAACGAACGAACAAAAACAAACAAACAAACAAACATTCACTACCAAAAACTTGCATAAAACCTTGAGATGTACCTTGGAAAGTGCATTAAACAAGTTAAAGTTAAAATTAAAATATTATAAATTAAAAATAGAAATTTAAATAAATTAAAAATATATATATTTTTTTTTAAATATTTATAATATAAACTATTTATAAAAAATATTTACAAAATATTTAATTTGAAAAATATTTTTTAAATGACAATTTAAAAATCTACTCATTTCTTTAATTCTCAGTCCTCTGAAAAATCTGATGTGATATATATTATTTTTCAAAATACACTTCTCGTTTATTTTGACTGTCGTTAAAAACCGTAATAAAGCTCAGTGTGTTGTTGCACTGCCT